AGTGTGCGTGATAGCGTCTATCCGGAGGGCTCTCGCCATCTGGTAGTACGCTGTGTGAGAGGGAGAGATTTTCTCCATGAGATTGCTCCTTTCGAGGTCTCTGAAGTCTTTGAGGCGGTAACGGAGTTTGCGTTGAAGGCGGTGGGCCGCGAGTCTATACTCGGGAGTGGGATAGCGTGCGGCTTTACGGAGGGCAGCTTTTTTGGCTTTGAGCATTTTGCTAATATCTAGGGGAAGACTAGTTTTAGCAACCGGGACAACCTTTTCATTCTCTTTAAGGCCGAATACGACGCGAATGACCTTGCTAGTTTCGCAGCAAACCACGCGCCGCCAGTACCTACGCTTTCTTTATATAGACATGTATAATACCTATAATCAAAGCCGTACGGGCTTTGATTATAGGTACTTTTATCTGGCAATATACGATATTATTATTAGGTGTTTTTAATTAAAACGAATTATGTTAAGAAATAATATTTTATATCGAAAATAAAGATAGCAGGTACCTTCGGAATTACAATACAAACATTTTTAGTAAAAGAATTTTTCCTAAATTAAAATTCACAGAGTTTTGTAAGAACAATAATTTTATATATCATTTCTTAACATTCTTTTATTTGTCGGTATATTCATTTATTTTAAAATTTTAAGTGACATTGTGAAGGACCCGAACAAACCTACAAAAATGTTTTAAAGCTTAGAATTACTTCAGGTCAAAGTTCTAGTCAAGAGAAATACATTAATTTTCGCCAGTTCTCTTCGTATTCGGCCTTAAGAGAGGATGTTATAAGAGAGGTGAGATTTTCGACCGCGGTGTCTATTTTCCCCGTACTGTCGAGGACGTCGGAGGAGAGGGTTATGGGAGGGTCCGGAGAGTCCATAGCCGAGGCTAGAGACTTCTTGAAGCCCTTCCAGTTGGTGTAGGTTTTGGAAGTGGGAGTTGGAGGTGGCTGATGGCCAAAGAGGAGGGATACAGGACGGTGGTCGGATCCTAGATCGTCGAGAGACTCGATTGCTCTAAGGTTGAGGGAGACTCCTTTAACTAGAGCAATATCTAGCACGTCAGGAGCGTAGTTAACGTTGTCGGGATAGTGGGTGACAGCGAGGGGGGCTGTAGGCAGTCAGGTCGAGAGACTGAGTGATATTGAGCAGCATCCTGCCACCACTAGTAGTAGTGCGGCAGGTCCATTCAGTATGCTTGGAGTTAAAATCTCCAAACATAATGACTGAGTCGCCTAGTGCAAGGATTGCTGGGGGGCACGAGTGTTCGGCACGAAACCCGAATTGTTGAGGGATGACAAGAGGGTCGCCGTCTGTGGGAAACAAATGGCGCCTCATGCGCACGAGAATAACTCGTTCGAAGAGTTTGCCCATGGCCTTGAGGAGGCTGATGGGACGGTGATTGGAGGAGAGGTGGTGAGGTTTGCCTGGCTTGGGAATGCCAATGACAGTTGCCTCTTTCCAAGAGGTGGGAAAATAGCTGAATTCGAATCAGCCGTTGAAGATTATGGCCAATAAGGTGATCACCTGCTCCGGAAAGTGTCTGAGGGCTTGGTTGGAGATGCCATCCGCGCCCAGTGCTTTTTTGGGCTTAAGTCCTTTGATGGTGGATGAAATCTCATCTTTGGACACAGTTATAGGGTCAGAGGCGGTGGGGGGCGAGTTCCGGCGACGGACCTCGTCCTCCAGTAGTTGGATATGTAGGGGGGTCAGTGGGTTATGAGCTGGGAGAGCATTAAGCGGCTACGCTGTCGGCGAAGCACTCAGCCTTTTTTTCGTCCTCGAAGGCAATAGAGCCGTCGGGACGAGATAGAGGGGGAGTGTGCGTGATAGCGTCTATCCGGAGGGCTCTCGCCATCTGGTAGTACGCTGTGTGAGAGGGCGAGATTTTCTCCATGAGATTGCTCCTTTCAAGGTCTCTGAAATCTTAGAGGCGGTAACGGAGTTTGCGTTGAAGGCGGTGGGCCGCGTGTCTACACTCGGGAGTGGGATAGCGTGTGGCTCGACAGAGGGCAGCTATTTTGGCTTTGAGCAGGTTGCTAATATCTAGGGGAAGACTAGTTTAGCAACCGGGACAACCTTTTCATTCTCTTTAAGGCCGAATACGACCCGAATGACAACACATTAATGAACAACACAGGGAGCATTGCTTACTTCTTGAATAAATTTTTCTTATTTATAATATTAGTTCCAATAGATTATAAATTCTGTACTTTATTCGTTATAAAATATTGTTCGAAAAGTTATTGAATTGATAACGATTTTTTTTCTTAATTGGTGCATCGTACGTAAAGAATCTCATATAACTGAAAATGTTTGTTCTTGTGAGTCTTACAAGATGCCATAATGCAAATTGCATAAATAATAAAGAAAAAAAAAACTAAAAAAGTCGGTGATTGCCCCATAGGTACTGTGTATGTAAATTCTCACAAGACTACTCCGACTGGTCAATCACTTCACATCCGAAGTATTTCGGTTTTTCTTAATTATGTACTTTTACCCCATGCTTTCGGACAATACATTGACTGACATTATTTGCGGTCTCTGTGCTTGCACTACTCTGTACATTCTTTTCCGACTGGGTTATATACTTGATATTTTACATTTTTAGTGTTTCTCACTTGAAACTAGAAAAGTATAAATGATCAGTTTGGCTAATGTAAATGAGTAAAAATGCAACCTATTAGGCAGCCTCAAACAAAAAATTACCTTACTAAATATAAGTATTAACCTCAAAATACAACATTCGAGCAGCGTTCATGCGATAAACTCTCTTTGTTTTACCACTTAGGTAACATTTATTTCTTTTCCTACCCATATTTACATTTATAGACACTTAAACGCGTATAAAACAATAAATAAACGATTTTCGCTACAGACACATCGACTGTTGTTGCCTTACGTCACACGTCGAAGCGCCTGGTAATTTATTACGGCAAACTTTTATCTGGCAATATACGATATTATAATTAGGTGTTTTTAATTAAAACGAATTATGTTAAGAAATAATATTTTATATCGAAAATAAAGATAGCAGGTACCTTCGGAATTACAATACAAACATTTTTACGTAAAAGAATTTTTCCTAAATTAAAATTCACAGAGTTTTGGAAGAACAATAATTTTATATATCATTTCTTAACATTCTTTTATTTGTTGGTATATTCATTTATTTTAAAATTTTAAATTGTGAAGGACCCGAACAAACCTACAAAAATGTTTTAAAGCTTAGAATTACTTCAGGTCAAAGTTCTAGTCAAGAGAAATACATTAATTTTCGCCAGTTCTCTTCGTATTCGGCCTTAAGAGAGGATGTTATAAGAGAGGTGAGATTTTCGACCGCGGTGTCTATTTTCCCCGTACTGTCGAGGACGTCGGAGGAGAGGGTTATGGGAGGGTCCGGAGAGTCCATAGCCGAGGCTAGAGACTTCTTGAAGCCCTTCCAGTTGGTGTAGGTTTTGGAAGTGGGAGTTGGAGGTGGCTGATGGCTAAAGAGGAGGGATACAGGACAGTGGTCGGATCCTAGATCGTCGAGAGACTCGATTGCTCTAAGGTTGAGGGAGACTCCTTTAACTAGAGCAATATCTAGCACGTCAGGAGCGTAGTTAACGTTGTCGGGATAGTGGGTGACAGCGAGGGGGGCTGTAGGCAGTCAGGTCGAGAGACTGAGTGATATTGAGCAGCATCCTGCCACCACTAGTAGTAGTGCGGCAGGTCCATTCAGTATGCTTGGAGTTAAAATCTCCAAACATAATGACTGAGTCGCCTAGTGCAAGGATGGCCACGAAATCACTCTTAACGGGGAGGGTTCCGCTAGGGATATAGCAAGAGGCTATAATGATAGACTGGTGTCCAGTCGTGGCTAATCTAGTGATAGTGGCTTCCATACGGGTAAGCGTCGGAGTGGGGATGTGGGAGCAATGAAGGTACTTTTTTGTAATAAATGGCAGTACCGCCGCCTTTGCGGTCGGGTCTGTCTTTACGAAGAAGTGAATATCTTTTGATGGTACATATGCTAAACCCAAAGTTATAAATGAACTTCAAATAGTTCAAAATTTATTCTGTTGCAGGGCCACTAACTCGCCCTATTATGTCCGTAATACCGACCTACACCGAGACTTAGAGCAGATCAGAACAATCCAGCAGTTCCTTAAATCACTCTCTGAGAGATTTTTCAAAGCCTCAGAGTCCCACCCAAATCATCTTATTCGTGAGACAGCTGCCTATGCAGCCCCTATCCATACTCGCTATAGTATGCGCAGACCGAGAAACTCTCTCTCGGACCCCCCCCCCCCCAACAAGCTTTCGGCTGACCTGAACTGCCTCCTGGCGGCTCAGGCCGAGCCTACACAACACATCCCTTAATCTGCCTTAGTTAGGCAAACTTCTAAGCGGCTTTTCGCCACTTGCGCCCTTCTTTCTGCCAAGGAGGGTCGCGTATACGTATACGTATCCGATCTGACGAGAGATCTCTAAGCCGTATACGAATACGGCTTAGAGATCTCTCGTCAGATCGGTAAGCCAATCCATAAAGGCGGTGTTTAGTGGGTAAAAGTCTCCACATAACCACGCAGCCGGCTGCGTGGTATGCTATGAGCATTCACCGCCTCCCTCCCCCCACTTTCCGGAAGGTTGCCCATATTTGCTTCGGGCGCAAAAAAAGGCTCGAATCGCAGTCGCGAAGAGTCTACAACAACAAGAAAAAACGAAGCCGAAACCTAAGGAACAAGAAGCTACCTAGGAAAAAAGTGTTTTAATTGCCTCCTCCCGGCTGATCGTCTATCTCTCTCTCTCTCGAGGTCCTAGTGGGGTCGTATTATACATGCGCATTCAGGGGTGCGTAGGACGTGCGTCACCAGCACTAAGCAGGGAACGTACGTCATCAAGTGGGAGATTGTCCCAGGGCGACTGCGGGTACTGGCCGTGTCCCTGCCGTCCGAAACAGTTGGTCCTTCGAAATCCGGATCCCTGCTAGAAGTATATAGAAGAATCCGTTCAAGATGCCGTTTACCAGGTCACAAAAGGATGCACCCTCACGTCCCGTGTCCCGTCCCTCAGATAAGGACGCGACAGGTGAAATGTCGGGATCAGAAGGGGTCACGTCTGCGTTAGCGTCAGCATCATCAGGAACAGGAACTATAATAACGATAACGGACAGAAGGATGAAGCCGCACAGAAGGAGACGACCAAGAAGACTCCAGAGGATATTCCAGACAAGGGCGTTCATGGCTCTGCCACAACCCTTAAGCCAAAGGGGGTCAGTCGTCGCGCCAGGTCCATGAAGACCACGAGCTCCTCAGCCAGGAGACGGGAGCTGGAAGCCAGAGAAGAATTAGCACGCATGGAGCTGAAGCAAGCTCAAGCTGCGGCGAAGCTAGCACGCGTCAGATTAGAGCTGGCACAATGTGAAGAAGAGGACTCGGTGGATGAAGACCAGGAAGACAGAACAGCACAGGTGCAGAACTGGATCGAGACATCAGTAATGGAAGAAAACAACGTGAAAAAACACGAGCAACGAGGTCAGAAGCAGTAAAAAGTGACTTTCAATTAGTATTATTATTAAAAAAGTTTCGGTTTCTGTTTCTGGCTTCAAAAGCTATATCATAAAGAGACTACTGTTTTGTTTTGAAATTGGTTTGTACTTTTACATAAAAGTTTGATCCGGCTGAAAAAATTTAATTGTGAATATACTCTGGTAACTATGTATAATTGTAAATTAATAACATCGTGAGGAAACCTGTATGTCTGGAGAATAAAATAATTCAAGAACATGCACCTCCAAAGAATTGTTCTCTACTGAATTATACGTTGACTGGAAACTGGGTAGTTACAAACTATATACGTCCCACTGCTGGGCATAGGCCTCCCCTCATTTCTGAGAGGGTTTAAGGGCAAGAAAATGTCCGCCACGCTGTCCCAATGCGTGTAGGCGAACTTCACATGTCTTCGAAATATTTTTTCTTATTCCTCAGACATGCAGGTTTTCTCACGATGTTTTCCTTCACCGCCGAGCACGTGGTATATCAGGACTTAAAATTGCAGTTAGCAACTTCATTAGTGCCGGTGGGGATCGAACACCGGTTACTCGCGTTATGTCATATTTACACTGGTAACTGGTAGTTTAATTATTTTACCTGTTTGAGCGGCCTAAGAAATATCACAAAGTCAAGAAAACAACTACCCACAGTGCTGCCGTGCTTACGATAATGGCAGTGAGTATCTGTAATAAGATTTCGAGAAAATGGAGCGCAAACTTTTCGAAGTTGTTGTTGAAATATATTAGTTTTAAATGACAAAAAACCGTTTATGCTAAGTATATGTTGATAATCTTCAAATAATAATTACTTAGAATTACCGGAGTAAGTACGTAGTTACTGCTCTTATGGTAGTAGTAGTAGTGATTCATATAATTCATAGGGCTTCTTAGGATAAAAAAACAACAGTAAATACAGTAAAAAATCTTTTATTTATTAACCTTCCTTATTAATTAATACTTGTACAAATGTTTTAAACTAACTTATTTTAATATGGTTAGAATTTGAGATCCATCGTACAAAAGTTACTTACGTACTAATTTAACAAATCATAACTCAACGTACTTATTTCTCATTAAATCAAAATTAAAAAATAAACATATTAAATATATATTTCAGTCTTGTAAACTTAATCGGAATCAATATTTACATCTGAAACAGGTAAGTTTAGCCAAAACTCTTTGCTATTATCCGGCATTAGCTGCAAAAGGTTCTTTATTATGCCATGTTTAGTAGATTCCGATATGCCCCTTGGTGAGGATTTTTGAATAAATTCATGAATTTTCTTTGATTTTATATATTTTATTTAAAGAAAGTCTAAATTTTTTTCATTTATATCATTGTGATTATTTTTATATTTGAGCGTGAACTCACCCCTTTTTGCTGTTATTACCATAATATCCTTGAGGTATAGCTTTGGTTCATTTTTGCGCACTTTGTGTTGTGAAGACAAGTCAATATAATTGTAGAAATCAACGACTTCCATTACTTTTACAATATTTTTAGCTGAATTGGCTTGCCGCACAGCATCAACAAAATCTGCAAAGTCGTAGACTTTATTTTTCTTTTGTAAAGCCTGTTCTACCTGATGATGAAAGCTATCCGCGGACATATAAGTATGGCCGGGCTCAAAGTACTTCAGGGTAATAGTGTTTGCTTTTATTTGTGTGCTATTAATAATATACACTAAACAACTCAAAATGGCCCAGTTTTTATTTTGGGAAGAACAGTTGTACATCCATAATACTATTTGTTCAACATCTCGTTTATTCAATAAAAATGCTTTTAATGTAGAACTTATTACCTCTTGTTTTCGCCCTGAGATAGCTTCATGCCAAACCGCTACAAAAGGCACATTATTTTTGTCTTTCTTTCTAGATCCTAACTGTACGAAGCTTTCATTACAGGCAATTATACGCGAGCAAAATTTTGCCCGTTTAAATTGATCCATTCGAGGCAGCATAATCACTTTTTGTAAATCCATCGAGTAGTAAACTGTATGTGGTTCGTTGGCAGATTTTTTTGGCGTCATCTTTATATGATTTACGTGTTTCCACATATCTCAATATGTATTTTGAAACTTTTGCAGAAATCACAATCTTGCTTTGTGTTTCATGACTTTTATGGAGCTGTTCAAATTCAGCACATATTTCGCACTCCTCATTGCCCAAATGAGCGAATGAAATATGCATCTCATCACGAACGACCTTCCTATATACCTCAAAAGAAACTATTTGATCTGGGTATTTTTTACAAAATTGCCTATGCATTAAAGTAATCGTTATATCGCTGGGCAAATATAATCTGTGCGGGGCATGTTCACGTCTATAATGTGAATTTACTGGGCCAAATGTATTAATATGGGTTTTTATTGCATCTCTGTCAAAGTTAGTTCTTCTTTTGTAATGTCCTCTTTGATTGTCTTGTTTCTCTATTGGTCTTTGCAAAGCTAATAGAACTCTCTTGTCATTTTTTGGATTGTATCCTAAAGTTGTTAAAAAGAAGTTTGCAAACTTCAATCTTAGTTTTATCCTTATAAAAATAGTAAGCATAACTTACATTGCGTTTTGGCATTTCGCGATTTGTGTTCCTCCTGCATGCAACTGGTTTAATTTCGACTAGAGTTTTGATAAAAATACTCTTTAATTGCCAGCTTAAGGAAACGTATTCAGAATTAATTTCTCTTCTACGTTCATCAAAAAAATTTTTGGTGCATTTTTTCTTGCATATTTCTGTGCATGGGTCTTTTATAGTTAGTTTTTCCATTTCTAATTTAGTCTTTTTTCTCTCTCCTTTTTTCTAATGGTTCTTCAAATTTTCTTCTTTTCCTTGGGTTTCCCTTTTTTGTTATTTCTTTGTCTTCCTGTTCTCTTTGAACCATTTTTGACTCTTCGTTTTCTTTTTGTATCTTGTTTTCAGGTATTTTATATTTTTTTTTATTTTCGGTATGTCTTAAATTCAATGCGAATGCTGCAATAAATTCAATGCGGGCGACTCCCCCACTCCTTCATGCCTCCCAACTCCCGGAGGCATTTAATTCTAAGCAAAATTATAGTAACTCAAACTTTACGTCCAAAAAAAATCATGAGTAACTGTAACTATTGCATTCCAAAACGTGCAATACTACTTTTCTTATGATGGTTTTCAAGGATTGTACACTCGAAATAAATACCATTGCTTACACCTGGAGTATGTGTACTTTCTGTTTAAATAATAATAAATTAATGTATTCAAAACAAATACCTTTGCTTATTATATACGCAGTAAGTGTACTTACTGTTGATATTATAAGTAAATAATGAACTCAAAACAAATACATTTGCTTATTACATACGCAGTAAGTGTACTTACTGCTGATATTATAAGTAAATAATGAACTTAAAACAAATACCTTTGCTTATTACATACGCAGTAAGTGTACTTACTGCTGATATTATAAGTAAATAATGAACTCAAAACAAATACCTTTGATTATTATATACGCAGTAAGTGTACTTACTGCTGATATTATAAGTAATAAATGTAATCGAAACAAATACCTTTACTTATTGTAACCACAATGTGTATAGTTACTGCGGTAATCACTAGCAATATCCTAACGCTATTGTAGGCACCACACTTACAAACCAATAGTAATAGATACATACTGCTGTATTAATAAGTAAGTTTAGTAACAATTTATATCAAACTGCTCTTATCATTACTGAATTTATAAGTTCCCGCTGAGATATTAAAATGAGTGTCAGACTATATTATAAAGTTCATTACGCTGATTCCGTATCTGTATATAACTCAGTTTGCCCAAAAATCGGACTTACTGCCATTATCGCAAGCTCGGCAGAATTGACCAGTGACGAACTGTGTTTTAAAAACTATTATAATTTCTTAATTAGTGTAATTAGCGCTTGCGACAAAGCATAATTTACCAAGTGACGAACTGTGTTTTAAGACTATTATAATTTCTCAATTAGTGTAATTAGCGTATTAACCCATGTTAGAATATAATTTAAATATAGCTATAAAATTAAAAGGTTAGCATTTAATAATAATTTTGTAAGGAAGTTTCTAAACGAGAATTTGTATTGTAAATACTTATAAAAATTTTAAGTTTTGTTTAGCGCTTGAAAATTGGTGTTAGATTTATATGTAACATAATATAAATAAAAAGAAATAAGTAGATCAGACATTTGTTTCAATAAATATAAGATAAAATGTAAATTAACACTTTTGTAGGGTTTTTTGCTCTAGAAATTTTGTATAAAGAACTTAATAGTTTATATTATTATTTTATATTATAGAACAGTACTAGAGCAATCTAACAATGTATAATTTGTAAGGGTTATGTGAAAGTTTTAATAAATAAAGGCTCCTAAGGTTTCGGCTCGAAATAAAAACAACACGCGAGACAGGGAAAACCACACTAACGTCAGTACGGTAACGCCGGCGGGTATAAAAGTCGAGCAAATTTCGGCTCAAATCGCATAAGGATCTCCTAGGTGTGCGTTGTTTGTGTTTAGCAGTGAATACATACAACCGCCGGTACGACATACTCCGCCGATCGTTGAGTCCGCTGATTCCGTGAGGCGTCGAGGTCATCGGCCCCTAGGCAGATTCTTGGCACTTTAAGCGTTCCGTGCATTTTGTGCCTAGTCGCGTTTAAAAGTGCCACCACCGCACTTCCCCCAACCCTTTTGTTGCAAAAGGTGTAGGCAGTGCCCAAAGTGAGGATAGTCAACTTCTTATTATCACCACCATCCGCGTCGCGCATCACCATCTGCTGCCGATCGGCTGGAATTTAGATAGGGCCTATAGTAGATTACCACTGACTGTTAGGTAGGAATATGTCAGGTAAAGATAAGGGGGAGCCCCCTCCTAAATCGAGGAAACCACCAGACCGACCGAGCGTATTGGAGAGGCCAATCGCCTACCGCGATATCTTCAATCCGGAGAGGGTGAGAGTAGTCTCATATACTCCCTAATACCGACCCGCAAGCCTTCG